AAATAAATTTATGAGTGACACGTTGGATTAAAAGAGAGAAAAATTGTGATCAAAGTTTAATAGAACAATGCACACTTATTCGAACGTTATAATTATAAGAACTTTTCAAAGAATTTCTATTTTTGTTTTTTTTTCTTTTAATTACTATTATCAATTTTTTTACCAATTCATACATCAATGAAAGATTTTACGTTGTTCTCAACTACAATGAGTATAATTTATTTAAAATGAAATAGTTTTCTGAAAGCACTTCACACTCAATTAATCTTGCCTAACATCTATGTCCTTGACACCTGAGATCTCAATGCGGAATCTAATTTTAGAAGATATGTGTGATATTCAGTGATAATTTCGTCATTATTTAGCAGATGAAGAATTTTTACAGAGCTAATAATTGATCCCACTGATAATTTACCAAATAAAAAATTTAAAACCAGTGATGATAGATATTGCTTCGCAATTGCTCATTACAATAAAAATCGGAAGAAAAATTTAGTCCAGAAAAGATGCTGAAATATTTTATCGAAGTTTTGATTATTTTACCCAACAAAACAAAAAAAGTATGACTATCGTGTTATAAAAAAATTCGAAAAAATAAGTTTGATTAAAACATGAAGAATATTAACAAACATTTTAATAAGATTTACACCCTGATGACCAACTAAACGTATCTCAAGTTGAATCTAGTATTTTATTCAAACAAGATGACACAAATATTTAGTCAACTGTTACAGGAATCTAATAAAAGTTCCATTTCATCAAATCAGAGTGAGCAGTCATTTTATCCTCCTACAGATGAATCTCAAACTTATGAAATTGAACGTTTTACTATGCCATTTGAGAGAGTAATTGCTCTAAAGCATATTGTTTTGAATGCCGATAAAGACATAACATCATAGACGTACCTACTGAAGGTCGTCTTAAAGTTTTTGTAAAAGGAAGATTATTTATTCCAAAAAAAATCAATGTTGCCCGAGACACTTAATAAAAAATCGATTCTACGAGACTCCGATACCTGAAGAAGTAAAACAGTTCATTCAGAAATTGTCAGATCGCATTGATGCTGTATTGTACGACAAAATTGGCTCTTATATTGTATCAGAAGAACGTATAAAGTTTAAAGAAAGTTAACATTGATAAGGGCGTCTGCATATAGAAATATAACTCAAGCCTTGGTAATATTTTTATTTAAATTAAGATCAGGAAGTTTAAATGCCTTATTACCTGAAGTTTTAGAAGTGACCTAGAGAATCGTAGAAAATATCACCAATCTATTCGTAAATGCTTTCAAGAATGTGTGCTTCTAGAAAAATTTGGAACTGCTTCCCATTCAAGAGTCTTTTATTTACAAATAAGCCAAAGCTGTTGAACCGATGATTAACTGCAACGATAAATTGTATATTATTTGTGAAGGAACTTACTTTAGTGCAAATAATACCTACCAACATAATACTCACTCTGGGCAAAAAAGTTCCATTTTGTAAGCCCTTTACCATCCGTACCACAAATGGTCACGTTATCGATCTCGATCATTTGAAGGAACTATTAATGATGTGAAAATTCTCAAGCAAGTACTTTAAGATGAAATAGATGAGTGATTTACTAGATATTCTGGAATAAACATTACAGAAACTGACACTTTATTTCACTGGCTCTTTCAAACTACAATAAACTATCTTATATTTAGGGGAAAATACTGAAAGATAAAATTAATCT